TCAAATGCAAACCATTTCGTCATCTAAAGGTCAAACTCACAACCGATTCCCAAGGCGAACTGTTCGTTGGAACTGTCGTTTGATCAGAGACGACAGTACAAATTCCGCTATTGAATTGCACTCTTCAAGAGAATTTTTCATCATCTTGTTAGTAGTCAATCGAACAAACTCCATCAAAATTTTAACAAATTAACAAATTTCATTTGGAAACCGAAACGAAAACGATTGCGGAATGAAGAGAAACTACGAGAAGCCGTTTGAAATTCGTATATTTTATGTCCTAAATGTACGATTCATTCCTTCAAAGAATTGTTCAGTTCTCATACTGATTGTGAATATCATTCGATGTCCTGTCCTGTTTGCCTATAGTGTTGTCTTTATCGATTACGCGAATGGGGAATGGAATTTACTTTGCAAGGTGGTGCATTTACTTGGTTTGTGAATATCGATTAACTGATTGTGAAAGTGTTTTGTTTTGAGTGGATGATTCTGGGCAATGTTTTTTTTGGAATTAGCATTAGTCATGATTGTGATCAGCTATAATCACTAATGATTCATGTCTACAACATTTTCAGAACTGAAATCGTTCTGAACCAATCAGATTCATAATCAAACAAATAATGAACAACGTCATATTTAGCCTGCGACCTGTCGGCTCCAGCAAAATCATTCATTCCCTTCTTTATCGCAGACTCGATCAGTGCATTGATCCATTCCAATACGCCGTGCAATTGATCTCTCATGAAAACTGTTCAGTTGCTCGTCTCTGTTTATGCGCTTCGATGAGTAGCAGATATATTTTTTCTTCGTATTTAAAGCTGCTAGCGAGTATCGATTCAAAACCATATCCAAGCACACACTGAGATACTGCTGCTATCGAATAGCAGGAAATTTAATCTCACTTATTAATCGCTGCTGTTGGTCACTACTCAAGCAGCTGACTGAGTAAATGCTTTTGAGACGTCACTTTATTTTATTACTTTTTAAAGAATGATTAAGAGACTTTACAGACGATATATTCTTATGTTATGAGTAATACCAATAGGTGTGCGCATGAAGAACAATTGATTCATCATTAATTTTACCATTTAAAGCTCTAATCGTAAGAGTTTATAGCAGAGTTCCCATAGGGGGGAATCCCCTTTTTTGGTAATTTGAGGGTGTCATGGGGTAATGAAGCGGTCGGGAAACTAGTTCTGGTTTTATGCGTGGTAATATTATTATAGAAATAGTGGGGAGGGGGAGGTCATGACAGCCTGCCAGACTGTCGAAGGGGGTAATGACTGTCAAAGAGCACCCGAGCGTGGAGACCATTAGTTTATAGAGATTAAGACATTTCCTTATATTTGCTTATGTGCGAAGGGAAGCTTTCTGATTCTGGATATAATTTATGAAGGGAAATCTCTAGTTGTATTTTCAGTCGAATGATTTACATTTATAATTTCAATTGATTTGCATATAGCCTTGCCTCATACCCTCATGTTACGCTCATATGAACTGAAACGATTTCAAGTATTCAGCATACGGTTCGATAACATCGAACTATCGTAAATCATTGTAGCGATTAATGAGGCGGCATCCAGTATAGGATTTATTATTCTGTTTTTATGGATGCATAGTATTGTAAAACGATTATATTATGAGTATGGTGTGTCGCCTTCTCTGCTGATTTCTTTCCGCTACTCTTCCCAGCAAGACCCTCACCAGATCATCTAACAAGAAGTGAATTTTGTTCGACTTGTGCTTTTTTTCCGCTTGAATGTCTTATAATTTACTATGCTCTTAAGATGTTAACGATAAGATGGAGCAACTGAATTAGGTGTTATAGTCTGTTATTATTTCCAGTAATAATGATATCATCAGAATATTTTGATATCATACTCCCAACGAATCAGTTCCTCATGCAATCGATTTATAATCGTAGAGCTATCATTTATATTATCAGGAGATAATGGTATATTGTAAATCACAATGAAATTTTACTACTCCGAAGCAGGTCTATTGTTGTGTTCATTTACTTTATATATCAGTTGGTAAATGAAGCCAT